TGTGTGCTTCTTTGCACAAAAAGTGTGCTAATCATAAATAAACGTATCAGTGAAGTGGCCACAGTTCTTACATATATAAGCACAGGGTTCTAGTAGTTATATATATTGTAAGGTGCTTTTTGACTACAAAATCTACAAAAACAATGAAAGTGTCAGGATTTATTCTAGGGTGAAAATCCAGAGGTTGCCTGTTATTCCACTTATTTCCATGAGGTGGTGCTCCCTAGCTTCCAACAAGTTACTAGGACTTCCTTTCAGTTTCATTCTAGGCACAGTATAGAGTATTCAAAAGTTTATCTAATCAAGCAGAATTCTCAGAATTTTACACTGAAACTCATGGGCCATTTAACAGTCGTAGTTCATGTTATCTTTTTGGATCCAAAGCTATTTTATCGTTAAGTATGTGAGTTCAATTATTTCCTGTAAGCAGACAAGAAGGCTAGGTTTTCTGCTAATTGGTGCAAACAATGTGCTTCACTTTCTTATTTCAGCTTAGAAACTTTCAAGATATAGGCTGTAAACATATTGTACAGGGTGAAATCATACTATTAATTCCATTACACTGCACATCCAGAGTATCAAGAAGAACCTCTCGTCCGATGTTTGAAACTAATATTTCATGATGAAACTTCAAGTGCAACAGAAAAACACATAAAACTGACATAATGGAAACACATCTTAAAAGTTTATTGACAGCCACAGTCATCGGACTTGCACAATGAACAGAGTTTACAGACCACTTACAACTAATCATAAATAAACACAAGCTAAACAGTATTCTGAAATATGAGACAAGAAAAAAAAACATTCACCTTACTTTTAAAGGAAAAGAAAACTATGAATCTCTAACACACAATGTAAGTGCTGCCTACAGCACTGGTGGCTTAATCCTGTTTTGGTCCCGTCTTTTTTCCAGATTGTATGAACAATTAACTAAATTGGAACTAACAGCAGGGCGGGGTATGTAGGGCTGTTTTTAAAAAAAGGTTTTTTTTACATTAAAGATTGTCAAGCTTACAACATTTTTCATCTGTAAACAGTATTAGATGATTTCTGAGAAGGGCAATATAAGTCATATTCTGAAAAAAGTCCTGAAAATCTCATCTAAAAAATGTGTACATGAACAAGGTCTCAATTCTGATGAAGTAAATGACTACAGAGACAAAAAAAAAAAATTCCCACTTAATGTTCTTAAAAGAAACTACACCACTTCGAAAAGACAACTTTCCATATCTGCAGTATCATGCTCTTGCTAATTTCTCAGACAGCTTTTTTGTGTTAAATCATTAAACCACAGGGTGCTTATGAATTCATTTGGCCTAGTCAAATAACTGTACTGTGAATCTGCGCTGTGGAGGAATGACGTATTGAAAGGGGTGATATGGATATTGATCGATAAGAGAGCTATTGGCATAACCAGTATCCACCCACCTGACAACCAGATCATCATGGAAATGAGTAACTTACACACTGAGCCAATATAGCACCCTCTGGCATGTAGAGAAATGATTACGCTTTAGGAAGATGGAATATTGCAAGGAAATAATAAATTAGACAACCAGATATCAAAGATAATGGTGAACTAATAGATAATATGTGATTTAGAAATCATCTAATTCCAGCATGGTAAGAATGATTTTCTAAATGGTTTGTATGAATTAAAGAATTGTTGTGACTTGGCATTATATACTGTACACAAGACAGGCAGCTTTGGATCAGCTGGTCCTGGATTGTTGAGGTTTACCTTTGAGGTTTTAAAAAAAATAATTAGGCAAGCAGCTGGAAAGTTGACCCTCAAAGAGTCCTAAACAAAAATAGAAAACTCATTCGGGTGGGCTGGACCGCAGGAAGATACAGTACCTGTTTGAAATACTGAGGTTATTCATATCGTACCAAGGGCAGTACAGTATAATAACCAACAGAGCTAATGTCATATTCTCTAACCATAAGCATTGTAATTGGAATGACAATTCTTTTAGACAAATATCAGTGTTTCCAACATTTCCCACAGGTTCCAGCATGATGTATTAGATCAATAATCCAACAGACTTAAAGAACTGCCCAAAGGCACAATATATTTATATAAAAATAGTTTCCATTTTCTTTACATATTCATTTTAAAGCAAAAGACCTCCCATTCTATTGTCATGAAAGGAGGTATGAGATGATCAATGTATGTTTATCTGAGTTCTATGAATCTGTAATACACTTACAAAATGATAGTCTAAGCATGTTTTTACAAATAATATATAGACATTTAAAGCAAGTTTACAGAACACACAGTTTCTGACACTGCAGCTGCTTAAATTGAAAACAAAACTTCAAAATTAAACATAAATTATAATTCTACTACAAATAAATAACATACACAATAGCAGATTCGTGTTTTTATTATTTAACCTCAGGAACATGAATGCAGATTGGTTACTGTGAAGACAGTGAAAACTTCAGCAGCGCAAATTGAAATCTAAAGCTTTTCAACAGCATACAATACAATAAGCTAGTTATCCCTCCTAATACTTTGGGTAAGACCTTGATTCCCTTATCCCAGAAAAAGGTTTAATACACATTCAATTGACTGTAAATGGCTATTCAATAACATGTACAGTAGATAATAGTCAATGGACATGCAACCCAGGAGTGTCTATGTCTATTAGACGTTGCTTATCAATTGACTTTTGATTTACACATTAGTGACAGCCAATCTGAGACATACAGTAATTGAAGGTGTAATCAAACTTTGATGACCATTTTAAAAGCACAGCAAATTGTCTCAGAGGCATAGTGGAAAAACCTGGTGTCTAGACAAGAATGTTCAAACACAAATTATGATAAAGTTGGGCAAGGGATTGTAGAGCTTCAGACAAAATAACCAGCACTTACCACAGAAAATATTTTACTGATTGTGGAGCTTCCAAAACGTAAAAAACTTTTGCAGAAATGAAAATAATTTTAAAAGCTTGAAATCTGAAACCTGACCTTTTTTACGTTGCAGAAGCACATCTTTGTATCAGCACTGTAGATACTATGAAAAGTGATTACTGCCTGTTAGTATATTTGTGTTCGCTGTACACACATATTTTATGTATGTCAATAGTCCTTTTTATTATATACTTAGAGGCATTAAATCCACCTCTATATACAGTATATTCACCTGCAGATATTATTACCATTATATCTATAGTCTACATATACACAGAAAGATTTCCAGATATTATTAATATTACTATTTATGTGTAAAACATTAGTTTAGATTGTGCTTAAAAATACAATTAATTCATACCATATTAAAATCCTTTAACCAAAGCTTTTCCAAAAGCCAGTGTCTATATGCCCATTACCTACCTTTAGAATTTCAGAAGAAATATTTTGTTTTTTTTTCTGAAATAATTAGACATCTGCAAGAAAAAAAGTAATTAATCAAGCTTTTAATCCAGGCTGCCTTTGGAGCTATTTGCTTAAAATAATATCTTCATAATACCAAAGTAATCAAGCTACAAGGTTTGTGTTTTGTAATGGACCATCATATTTTTTCTTTCAGCCAAAAACAAGCCTAATGGCACTTTAGAGTAAAATATGAAGCATTTTTATGTTTCCCTTAAAAACATAATTGCTAGATAATCACTCACTCATACATTTTAACTTTGGATAACGCAATACTGAAAACATTCTGCAAAATGTTTTCCCTTCATATTGAAAAGAAACATTGCACAGAAACATTCCACACTTCCGGCTTAATCGACAATTGTTTTCAATTGATGTTCCCTCATGTTACAAGTTCAGAAAGGGTTCTCAATATTATTTTTTCCTTTTTACAATAATTAAAAAAATAAATGGTCCCATCTATGTTCTAATAGAAAAAGTGGGAGTGAACAGTACGTGAGGAATACTCAGAGTAGCTACTGAACCTCAGGGACTGATGTATACAGTATTGTTTGTTTGGGTGCTTGGAGAGTTTGAAGACCACTCCGGAATCTTCAGCACTGACTGGCCTCATTGGGTCTAATACAGGCAGAAACAGATTTTAAGACTTGACTTATGGTGCAATAGTCTTCGGTGTCAGTCATTCAAACTACAGCATGGATCCAATTCAGGATTCAAAATACATGGTGTACTGCCTAAACCTGCAACATGCTCATTAGACACTAATGAATCAAGATTATTTCAGCCCCTAAACATTTTGAATATATTGCCAACAGTCCAGTTGTGTTACTACAACACTTTCTGAAATAATTTTTACTGTATGTGTAGTACAGTAGACCTCCATAGAGTAATCACAGAATAATGAATTTAATAGCTCACTAATAGTAAAATAAGCAATGAATATATATGAATATAGCATATGGGAAATGGTAAATGCAGGGAGAGGAAAATGCAACTTAGTTTAAGTCAATTGGCTATCATTCCTTTCAGTTCTTTTATACTTGCCTGTCCACTTCAGCGCTGTTATGATTTGCACTTTAGACCTTTTTAAAACTGCTCACGTTCAGTTTGTACATGGAAGAAATGTATTTCCAACAGGAAAAAAAAAGAAATTCAGAGTTCAGACAATGCATCATGCCTATTCACCACATCACTCACTTCAGACTCAGACTCTCATGACAGTAATTTCCCCTTTTGACCATGATGAACATTTCTCATGTGAAGGAGAAAAGTTGCATTATTTAATTTTTTAGAACAACTGAGATCTAAAATGGCTTTAAATTCAGACTCTAAGGTTTCATTTCATTTAGGCATTATATAACCTCTCAGATTTAGGGGGTGGGTGAATGTTATCAAGACAGGCAAGCTTGCATTGTCTTAAATTGATATACAGTACAACAGATGGTTGCTTAGAGAAGCACAGTGATGCATGGTTAGCAATCCTGGCTCGCAGTGCTGGGCCTGACCTGAGATGCTATCTGTGAGTGTTATCTCCACATGTTCAGATGATTTCCTCCCACAGTCCAAAGATATACTGATAGGTTACTGGACTTGAGGAAAAACTGGCCCTGGTGTGAGTGTGTGAGTCCGTTTCTGTGTCTGTGTGTGCCCTGTGATGGACTGGTGTCCTGCCCTGGGTGTACCCCACCTTGCACCTTTTACTTGCAAAGACAGGTTTCCTCACGACCCTGAAGTGGATGATGTATGTAGAAAATGGATGGATGGTTGCCGGTGACTTGCAGATAATGTTGGAAGCAGTGGTACACTCAGAAGGCATAAATTGCCACTTTGTGATATGCCATAACGAACAGTGGTGCCATTCAATGGCAAGCCACTCCCAGGCAGCTGTATGAAAGGCAAACCAACTTTGTATTAATCTTACAATAGCTGGCATAATATCTCTGCAGAACCTTATGGACACCTATAGTACAGTGACTGTTTAAGTAACATTATTCGCAGCACTGTTGTCTATTTGTTTAATGTTGAGTATTACCCACTTTGCTATAATTTGTGTTGCTTTCCAAATTGCTGCTTAAGTGGAACTGTCCAAAACTGCACAAAAACAGAAGTTCTGTTATAAGATGGCAGTATCCCTTTGCGGTTGAGAAGTTGACCAATTAGCTCCTTTTCTCTGCGAGACTCCGTTTATATTCCATAGACTGGTGTGGAGGGACGCACACAGCTAAGTAAAGGAATTAAAATAATGTTTCTTCTTCATCCATACTTCATTGGAATTCACAAACATTTATGCCTACTGAAGAATGCAGCTATTTCCAGATGAAGCGCCACTGTCCAGCTCACCCAGCCCAGGCATAACCAATAAACATTTCAACACCAGGATACTCCTGGTTAGTGTCTCTGAAGCACTAAGTATCCTCAGTAATTGTGGTATTCATAAGAGGATGCATTTCTGTCCCAAGATCTTCCAGGTCATAACATATAGAGAATCAAAGAAATCGAATCCTACTGAAATTAAGGACCTTAGTGGATTCCTTACTTTATCTTATCAAACCCAGAAAATTTTCCTTAATAATAAATCAGTAACTGAAATGGCTCATCTTGTACCAGATGAGTGTTCCTTTAACATACAGGTCTTTCTCTCTATCTTGCTTTCCGAATGTATAGTGATGTACATCTATGTGCTTCGGTAGGTCTTTATGATGTCTTTGATGCTCCTCCTGCATATTGGACAGCAGGCATTGGACATTTTCTTCAACTTTAACCCACAGGTGTAGCAGAGACACATGTGCCCACAGGCATAGATCACAGTGTCCACCATGTTCTCATAGCAGATGGTGCACTCATCACTCCAGGATCCAGAGCTTGATGGGAAGGTTGGGGACTCTGGGAGACTGATGGGGGAGCTTGGGGTTGTACCTACAGGGTAAGGAAACACAATAAATCTTTACAATCAGGATTCTGAAATGTTAAGGACAGCATTCCAGCAAAATAAGGTGTACCTGGGATGCTAATCATCACAAATAATATCATGACCAACAGAAAAAGCCTGGCAAAACTTTTTGGATACATAAATGTTACTTATTTTTTCCTGAAAAACTGTTTTATTCTTTTGTAGGATATCTTTCATTTTGGTTTCAAAGTAAAGGTGTTATTAGTGTACCACTTTCATTTTTGCTGATTACAAAAACAAAAGCATTAGCAAAACTGTAAATGGCATAAAGGTTTTTCTGCTGGTTTGGTACTGAAAAAAACATCAGTGTCTAAGAAACAAAATATCTGGTGATCCTTTCAATTGAGCTGTTCCATAATTTGTTTCAGCTGGATGATGTAGAAGTCCTCAAATCCTATAAGCCAGTTTTCTTTCTAGCGAAACTGGTCTGTAAAGTGTTTTAACGAGATCTTGGAAAACACCCCAACATCATGACATCACACATTGGACTGAATATATTGCCACAATCCTTTAAGATCCCTTCTGGTCATAATTTTCCAGGAAAATGCTAAATACCATGTGTAGGCAGGCATGTAAGGGAGCACTACAATCCATTTCAGAGATTTAACCCAGCTCAGATCAAGATATTTCTTTTAAAAGCGACAATCCAGGGGTGTCACCCACTTATTTTTGTTTGTTTTGATATACATATAATATTGTACTGCTGTTTAGTTCGTACTCTTTGATATTCTTGTGTATTATAAGTGCTTGTCGATTTATAATGTGTGATATGTGTGTTTTTTGTCGCAGTGGGACATCTTTTAAAGCAATGTACTGTAGTACAATATAAGTAGTACAGTTATCTACTGATAACTCTTAAGGAGATTGTGACAATATTATAAGAAACATAAGAATTTGGATCCTGTTTCTTAGTCTGAAAAAAGTATATTTTCTGTAAAGCAATTTTGATTAATTTTCTAAAAACATAGCAGAACAATACAACGATAGCCCTCTGGAAACAAAGGGAATCCTAAAATAGACAGCTATAGTACTGTAGGAGTATGTGCAATAACGATCTGACAGTGTCAACAGCAGCACTCTAGGATCTGAGCAGTAGCATGTTCCACATGAACAATGCTGCGATAAGGAGTGATCCAGGGGATGTCAGGGGAGGGGATCTTTTTAACAGCAGTAAGATCAGTCAACTGGATCTTTCTCTTGCTGCATGAAGAGTTATCATTTGGCTAGTGTACTAGGTGAGAGCAAAAAATAGCTTTGTTTAGACTAGCAGATGAAGAAGAAACCACGAGTAAATGTTTCTAAAACATTACCATATCTCCCAAGACATGTGAAAAAAGTTACTTATAGCATCCCATAGACAAAATGCACATCAGATACTGGGGACAAGATTCATTACAGCAGCATCTATGAGGATTCAAATACAGTCTGTGAAGAAAATTGAACTGAGGTTAAAGAGTTTTGATAGCTGAAATTGTATTGGACCACAAAAGTAAGTCTTGCGTAACAGTGAAATCCTGGTTCTCAATACTAACACTGTGTGGCTCTACAGCTAAATGTTTGTATAATAACCTAAAATGTTTGTTCTGCCCCTGAAATCCATCTGACTGCGCTTGGGGTGTACAGAAAACTTCGCCCCTAAGGGCAAATCATAGGCAAGCATAGAGGAAAAGAGATGCAAGTAAAAAATAGAAGTGACACGTATCATGTCTTGACTTGCAAGGATCAGTCTCGTTTTCGCTCATGACCTCGTTACAGACATTGATGCTTCACCTGAATGAAAACCTCCTAAATGCCAAATGGAGAACCAGCTGTACTTACCTCCTGTGGAGCTGCAGAGGGCGCCAGAGCCACTGGCATTGAGGGTGGGGTCTGAGCTGCCACTGCATAGCCCTGTGGGGGTGTTAGGAGTGGAGGAAGGGGAGCTGGGAGCTGAGGGCCCTCGTGGATCAGGTAAGTGTGTAGAACCTGGAAGCACAAATGCAGCACATTGATGTAGAATTAACCTTACACACTAACCCAATGTTCTGTGCTCCATAATATAGTATGTTAACCTGAATTCATGTTATACTTGGTCACAGTTCAAATGTTCTTTGAGTCAAGGATTTGTTTTTTGCAACATTTTCAACATTTGAAGAACGTAGTGCTTTCCTTATTTTGTACAATAAAGCTACAATGTGCAAGAGGAGCAGTCCAACGGAGTTGATTTGCGTTTTCTTTTAAAATGCATAAAAAAAGGAAGTACTGGTTTGTGGTGTATATCAGTTGAAGGTCTCCAAGGTGAAATAGAGCTGAAGTCTAGATGTTGTGTTTACATGAAGAATGTTCTCATCCACCCAATATTTCTCCTGTATGACAGACCTGAAAATTTCTGCAGATGTAATCTTGACTTTATTTGCCATGTTCTTTACACAATATGTACTGTAGTAAGCAGTCACTTGCTTTTCTCTACAAGCTCCTGGTAAAATCAAAGAGGGATGTGGTCATTGCTGGCTTCTGCAAAGGAACATGTCGTTTTTTTTGACACAAGCAGAATGTGTAGCAGTGCCTCTAGGGCTTGGCATAAACATGCTTGTAAACACCTTCACACGTAGTGCACTTTATAACTGAAAAGGAGCTGACCCTTAGATACAGTATGTCTATGTATTACTCAACCACTGTAGCATTTTACAGGATTTTGAAGAAATGAAACAATTCTCTGACACATGACTGCTGCCTAAATTACTTTTGGAAAATATGAGGATTAGAAGGTAACTTAATCTTGTTTTGCAGAAGGAATTCAGGCACTAGCCTTTTATGACAGAATTGTTTTTCAGTTCCTACAGTATTCTCTCTCTGATAGCTACCACCTAATCCAATAAAACAGTTTAGATGTCTTTGATTGTCAGGTTTGTTCTTGTAAACATCCTGACTTTATACAGTAAGAGCATTTTAATGGAATAAATGAGATAGAACTGCTAAGACACAAATGTAAGAATCGATGAAGAGCCTATTTTAGAACACTGGGTAAGTTTTACATGTTGTTTAAAGGTGCAGTATGAGTGAAACGAGAAAAACTGACCATGACTATTTGAAGTTACTCTATAATTTAGCTTTGGCAGTCAACTAAGAATCATAGATCTTCAAATGAAAGGAAACGTAAGACTGATCAAACTGTCTTAGAGAAGTTACCACGGAGCACTTTCAGGCTGATTGGGAATAAACGGTTATATTCATAAAATGAATTGGAATTGTGACCAGAGTTAATTAATGAAGGATTCCTTGTGTGATAGCATTCCAGGCAAAACTGATACTGGGCTCTGCAAGCAGAAAAAGAGTTACAGTATGTGAATAAATGCTCAGTTCTTTAATTTCCACCGAATTCAAGCTACACAGTGCAGATCTGCAAGGCAGTTTCCCAGTTTTGTTTAGCAAATACAGTACATTGTTTGAACAGTCACTACACTACATTACATAAATAAAAAAAATGATATTTTAGAATACACCTAAAAATATTTTTTTTTCTTTTTAGCTGAAATTGGAATAAAAAGTAGTTTATGGAACAACTTGGAGCACGGAACTATGAACGTGCATCAAGGTGCATTCTGAATAGGGATTGACAATTGGTGAGAAAAAGTATTAAGGCACAGAAGTGGAAACTGTTGTTAGAAGAATACATACAGTATAAGTGCCTAAGGTAGAATGTGTTTGATGGCATTTTGAAAGATGAGACAAATTTTACATGTATCCTTATTCTAAAAGTGATGAGCCGAGATAAGTATGGATCAAAGTTGCACAGTTTACAACTTTTCAACAGTGTGCAAATGCCACAAAAACCTTAATCTACTACTGTGTAGCTCATTCATTAGCATACAAATGTGGTAATATTGTTGTGTTCAGAGTGTAAGCCCCCTGTGTGCAAGATTAGTAGCTAATAATTCACTATGTTTTGGCCTCTTAACCTGTTTTCTTTAATGCATTAACCTGCTGGTGAGGTTTTCTATCGCCCAACTGTGTTTCCTACAGAAAGAAAATATATAAAAAAACTTAATGAAAACAGACTTCAAAACTTAAGAAGAAATAAATAATAATAATAATAAAAAACTTTATTTTATATAGCGCCTTTAAAGGTGGCTTCTCAAAGCGCTTTACAGGATGATAATAACAATACATAAGAAGACTACAACAATAAATAAGAAGATTTCACAAGATAGGACACAATTATAATTACAACAATACAACAATAACAATGGAGGAGACCGTGGAAGGTGGTATTAAGAAGAGCAGAGAGGTGAAGAATGGAACCAGTTAAGTAAAGGCTTTTCTGAAGAAGGTTTTGAGTCTGGATTTGAAGGAGTTTAGAGAAGGTGACTCTCTAATATCCTTGGGCAAAGAGTTCCAGAGCTTAGGGGCATAGCAGGAGAAGGCCCTGTTGCCCATACAATGTAGACGGGCTTGGGGGACAGTAAGGAGGGAAGAATTTTAAGAGCGGAGGTTGCGAGGTGGGGAGTAGGGCGATAAAAGTTCAGACAGGTATTGAGGTGCCAAGCCATGTAAAGCCTTATAGGTGAGCATGAGGATTTTAAAGTCTATGCAGAATTTGACCGGAAGCCAGTGCAAGGACTCCAGGTTAGGAGTAACGTGAACACTTGCACTAGACCTGGTCAGGATTCTGGCTGCTGAATTTTGGACATACTGCAGCTTGTTCAGAGTAGATTTAGATACCACAGGGAGTAGAGCATTGCAGTAGTCAATTCGAGAGAATACAAATATGTTGATCAGCTTTTCAGTCACAGTTAATGATAGCATAGGGCGTAGTCTTGCTATATTTCTAAGGTGAAAAAAATATGTTTTGACAGTATGCTGTACATGTGGGTCGAATGTTAAGCCAGAATTGAATTGAATATTCAGAATTGAATATTCAATTCACAGAATACAGAATTGAATATAAATATGAAGTTTTTCAAATACAGTAGGTTTATCCAATGTATGGATTTTCTTACAGTTTTGAAGTATAGTGTGTTTTCCCTTGACTGAAAGCCACCTAAAGTTTTGGCAAACTGCATGAATGTAAATGTGATGTACAGTAAACATGTATAATAAATACTGAATGGTATAATGATGGGACAGAATAAGTTGAGAAGACTTTTAATGAACCAGACAGAATGGTTCATTCCTTGCAACACCATTTATACTATAATTTACATAGTACTACAATAACTTGAAAAAGCCACTCAAGTATCTTCAAGGGGTTGAAGTTAATTGTTGTTTACTGGCCTCTTTCCCTTATCTGACCTACCTCATTTTTTGGTAGTCAATTCATTCATTTTTAATAATCGATGAACAGCATATTTGCCAAACTGTTTTCCCTTCATAATGAAAAAGAAATTCCATGTTTTTCTCAATAATTAACGACTGCTTTCTTGTGTTACAAACTCTTAGAGGGTACATTGTTGGTGCCTTCTAAGTTTTAATGGAAAAGTGGCAAGTGAACAGTTTAAGTGGTAAACTACTCCTGTCCTTCCTGAACATAATCCCCTTAGAGGTATTACAGTACCTTCCAAGTGCAGCAGTGCTTTTGTTTATATTTCTTGACTGCTGCCGAGTCAGGGTGTGGCTTGTTACCTCTGGTAATATGTGGCTTGTTCTGGTAACATGATATCAATAAAAATGTATCTGAATGCAGTTGTTGTATTCAGTTTTACACTAGGCTGGTCCTAATCCTGGCCCACAAAGGTGACCTCAATTTGGTCGGCCTACAGCTGTCGTTTCATTTCGTGAACACTCAAACCTGAGAAAAGCCAGTCAGGAGGTGGCTCCCAGCCAATCTAAAACACAAGAATCAAAGAGGCCTAAGATGGCTGTATAGTCCATTTATTAGCATGCAAGTGCACAAATATGATGTGTTGAGAGCATGCCGTAAGCAAGATTTGCAGTTAATAATTTATTATCTTCTGTGCTGAAGCCATTTTTTGTGTTTTAATGCATTAACCCACAGGTGACATTTTTCTTTCTCCTGAATGTGTTTCCCATAGAAACCCTTTTTCTCCAATGGAAAGAGACTTTAAAAATAAAGGTTTGCAGACAACAAAACCAACTTTCTTGTAGGAATGTAAAGTTATGGCCATTTTTTGTCAAATGGATTATGTGGCTTTTGTTGCCTTTGATTTGATTGATCAAGTCAAAAACCTAAACAGTTTGGCTCCATGATATTTTAAGAGATGACTGAGCTCATTCCCCACAAGACACCAGCTGACACTCGGGGATGCAACAGCAATATTTGCTGTCTTTGTTGCTTTGATACACAGATTTAGGATAGGGGATCCTAGTAACAGTCAGGAGGCTGTAAGAGACTGTCTGGCTTTTTTGTTTCTAAATGTTCTCCTGTTTCCCCAAAAGAGAGCTCACATCTGACTTCAGACAATAACTTGTCTATATTGGACTACTGGACATGTAAGTACCAAAACAACAAATTAAAATCAATAGTAAACTGACTTGGTACGTTCTGTCTTGTTGAATCTTGAAACCTCAGACGATGGAAGTTCCCCTCATTTTACCTAAATTGTTTACGAAGAGGCAAAAAAAAATGAGCATAACTTCACAAAAAACATGAGATGGAAACATAACCCTACTGTTATCAGAAGAATGTACTGTACCTTAAACATATATTCCTTAATAATTAACAGTAGGTTTAAACATCTGCTTCCCACAGAAACAAGAGGGAGCTATATAGCACAACAAAGTCTTCTAGTGCAGAATCTGTATTCATGTTTTATATTGATATTGCTTATAATGCTACATCCATTCATTTTCTAACCGCTTTATCCAATACAGGGTAGCAGGGGAGCCAGAGCCTTGCCAGCAAGCGACAGGCACAAGAAATGACACACCCCAGATTGGATGCCAGTCCATTACAGAGTATACACATACACACACAGAAGCCAATTAACCTACCAGGACTGTACTGTATGTCTTTGGACTGTTGGAGG